GGACAAGAGGGGGCGCCTGAGTCGTCAAATGGGCTGGGAGGAGGGCGAGGTCCGGTCTCCCCATCAAGTGGTTGTGGCGCGGAGAAATCAGACACAAAGTGACCGTGAGGGTTGGGGTCCGGAAATCGTAAAAGAGACGGGTCAGGGCTTCGGGGAGCTTTCGCGTTGTGCTTGGGGAATAGCGTTTCCTGCGTGGTCCCGCGTTTCGGTTGCGCTGTGCCCGGTCCCAGGGCTCTTGTCGTTAACCCCAGGAGTGTGGACAGGAGACCTTGACTCGAGTTTGGATGCACGGATTGGGCCTTTCTCACTGGGTTGGTTAGAAAGTGCCAGGAAAGTATGTCTGAGCCAAGACGGTGCAGTCTCCTCTCCTTAGTGTCTCTAGAATACCTGTGACAATTAAGGTAGCATTGGTCGTGCACCTGGGTGCACGTGGGTTTCTGGGTGGACGTGTTAAGAAAGAGAGAAGTGAGCTTGTAAAATGGGAGAGGGAAATTGAAGCCCAGAGGGATCGAGGTTTCATCCTGCCCCACACAGAACTGTGAAGTAGAAGTTAACTCTCCTAGTCGTCAGTGCCCATTTCCTTGTGGGCCAATCTGATCCTGCACCCCCCCCCCCTTTCACTAATTTTCCACCCATAGACTTGGAGAGTCATGGAAGGTTTCAAAAATATTTGGTATTTAGGTTTTTAAAGTTCGATTAGAGTTTGGTGACAGGTGGAAAAGGTGTAAAAATCACCCTGTAGTAAGGTTACCGGAAGGCGTGGCAGATGGGCTGTTAGAAAAGAGATAAATCAGGCTGTTTGGGGAGACAGTGTGGAGGGAGGTGAGTGATGGGAGATAAAAATGGCAATGTGTGCTTTGGGACCAGGGCGCACATACTGGAATTATTTGAGAGGTTTAAAATTTTTCCTGGACAATTAGATGACTTGAAAATTGGGCAAAAGAGAAAATAATTTAGTACTAACAGGGATAATGTTTGCACCGATGTGGAGGTGATTGATTTATTTTGGCAAATCATGCAATTAAGTGAGAAGAGCACTGAGATTGGGGAAAGAATCAAGAAGGGCAAAAGATGTCTGATACAGCAGGTGCTGTATCTGCAGTGCTTAGGGTGGCAAATGGCTATGGCCATCTACCTTTTGTGTATTGGCTCAAGGGTGGGGAGAGGGGGTGTTTGCACAGGTGCAGCTCCTACCCTGTGGAGCAGCTTCCCCCTTTTGCAAAACGGTTCTTTTAGAATGCTCAGGATGACATCTAAAAGTAACTTATCAGTTCTTTGGGAACCCGGAATTGTAATAGTAGGGATTAGAGTAGAGAATGCTGTTGAAATGGAGTTATTTGTAGCCACAGTAGAGAATAACATGACAAAAATTAGGGGGAAAAGAAGCCTGCTTACTTTTTGCTTAATTGCCTTGAGCAGCAAGTGCTATAATGCCAAGACTCAGATATTCAGGTGTAAGTAGTAGCCTGAAGATCTAGGAGCACAGGTTCAGAAGATATGGGTAAGCCCTGAGTAACCCCAGCTGTGTTAAGAACATTTCTTTTACAGAATCCTGCGGAAAAGTAGCTATGCTCCAGGATTTGCGACCTTTCACCATCTTTCCTCAGCCTCGCCTAACTGTAGGAACTCTGCTCATTACATGGTTGAATTTAACTCTCTGTTAACGAAATCATTGAAACTGTGGTACAGATGATCTTAGAGGTCATCTGGCCTAAGCATCCATTTCTTGTTTTTCCTAGTGACAATCTCACTAGGTTTTGTATAAGATGCAGAAGTAGGTAAATTAAGATATGGTTCACCAGACCAACCTGCTTCTTCCTGAAATACATTAAAGTTGCACTTTTTCCTCATTCAAATGCCTGTTTGTCAGTAGGACTAGAACTGACCCTTAGTAAAATAATATAGGAAATGATTTTGATCCCCTTTCTTCTACCTCACAGTTGCCCATAACTAAAAAATTCATATTTATAAGACACTGCTAAGTATCAATCCGAAATTCTTCATCATTGTGAATATGCCCTGGTCTGCCAGGGCATATTCTCTGGAACACTCCCAACTGCCCTGCCAGAAGTCACCTTTCATAAATTATCTCCCCCTTCTTTTTCCTCAAATGTTTTATTTATTATTTAGTTTTATATCAATCTTCATTTTGTGCCTTTTTCCATCTCGGTTGTAATCCGCATGGACTTCCCACCACCAATTCACCCGTGTGCCATCACCATAGTCCATGCACCTTTCCCACCTACTTCCTACGCCACCCCCTGTAAAATGTCCCTGGTACCTAGATGTTCATTTTTCTTTATTACAGTTACCTTTTTTTACCCCCTCTGGTCCCTTACGCTCCTGCTATGAGTGAAACCATCTGGTATTTTTCTTTTTCTTTTTGTCTTATTTCACTAAGCATGACGCCTTCCAGCTCCATCCATGTTGCTGCAAAAGGCATGAGTTTATCTTTTTTGGTTGCTGAGTAATTCTCCATTGTGTATATGTACCACATCTTTTTAATCCAATCATCTACTTTTGGGCATTTGGGTTGACTCCACCTCTTCCCTATTGTAAATAGAGCAGTAATAAACATGAGGGTGTAGGTGTCCTTTTGAATAAATGTTTTTATGTTCTTTGGGTAGATACCTAGGAGTGGGATTGCTGGGTTATATGGAAGCTCCATGTTTAGCAGTTTGAGAAACCTCCAAACAGCTTTCCATAGTGGTTGTACTGTTTGCATTCCCACCAGCAGTGCAGAAGAGTTCCTTTTTCTCTACATCCTCACCAACATTTGTTGTTGCTAGTTGTTTTAAAATGTGCCATTCTCCACATCTTCAAAAAACTAGCAACAACAAATGTTGGCGAGGATGTGGTGAAAAAGGAACTCTCCTGCACTGCTGGTGGGAATGCAAACTAGTACAACCACTATGGAAAACTGTTTGGAGGTTCCTCAAACTTCTAAACATGGAGCTTCCCTACGACCCAGCAATCCCACTCCTAGGTATCCAAGACACAAAAATACTGATTGAAAAAGATACCTGTACCCCCATGTTTATTGCTGCTTTATTTACAATTGGAAAAACATGGAAGCAGCCCAAATGCCCAAAAGTAGATGACTGGATAAAAAAGATGTGGTACATATATACAATGGAGTATTACTCAGCAACCAAAAAAGAGAACACATGTCTTTTGCAGCAACTTGGATGGAGCTGGAAAAGATCATGCTTAGTGAGATAAGCCAGAAAGAGAAAGAAAAATACCGGATGGTTTCACTCATAGCAGGAGTATAATGGACCAGGTGGAAAATAACAAAAATAATGAACAGTCATATACCAGAGACATTTTGTGGGGGTGGAGTGGGGAATGAGATCAAAAACGGGGTGGGGGGAGGGAAATGCACAGGATTATGGTGATGGCATATGGGTGACTTGGTGATGGGAAACCCGCGGGGATTACAATTGAGATGGAAAAAAAAATGTACAAAATGATGTAAAAATAAACTTTTGTAATAAAAAAAATGTGCCATTCTCTACCTCCCCTTTCTGTGCTTTAAAAAAAAATCTGTAAATTAGGGTAACTAGTTCAATGACTTATGACGATTAAATGAAATAACACATTAAAAATCCTTAGAACAGAGCCTGGCTCATTTTAAGTGTCAAGAAAATGTTGAGTATATAATTTTTAACATTCCCCCCCACCCTTATACTTAGTTGTCTGTTTTTTTAAGTTTTATATATTTACAGCAGATGGTAATGGTTTGGTTATTTTCCCTTCTAGAGATTGATTTTCAAATTATAGTATGCATATAATCCACTTGGTTAGCTTGTTATAGTGTAACTTGTTAATAGGAATTCAAATTAACCAACCTGACCATCTGTAATTCTGATGAAGGTGACCTGGGATCTCACTTTGAAAAACATTGTCCTAGGATAAACATAAATGAAAACTTAGCTTTGTTAAAACCTTTAACCCTACACTAAGGATGTTGGTAGAGTTAAAAGACCCACAGGCAAGTGGCAGTAGCACCATTCTGCCCTGTTTAAGGCTCTTCCTAGGTAGGCTTATGCAGAGCTTTGTGAATTTGGCTCTATAATTGAGGTTGCTGCCCTTTCCTTCAGCTCAATTTTAATTCACCCAGACTATTTTGGAACCCTTGGTTCCACATGGCGGTACTCCAGGCAGGTGTGGAATAGCATATCACTCTCCTGTCATGTCACATCTTTCTGCTAAAAGCTCAAGTTCAGGACACATTTTTAGGGGGCCAAGAAGGGGCTTCTTTATGCTAGAGAGTCTTATAGGAAGCCACATGATAAGGCATACTTAAAAAACTAGACAACAGGCTTGGAAAAGTTATACATGTCCCCTTTACTCTGTTATGTGTTGACTTTTATCATGGGGATAGAGTGGATGAATAATAAAACCAACTTTAAAATGCAGAAAGGAAAAACGTATAGCTATAAAATACTATAAAACTTAAAGTTATAAAATGTTAATAGCAAATATGAAAGGTTTTCTTTAGGAAAGTTGAGGGCTGATGTGGGCCTTTCATGATTTGGCGGGCACTAAAAAAAATGTCTCTGCTACCGTAGGTACTTCTTAATATGAAATGTACAAGAGCATCAGGGCCTTGGGGAAATTAGTACCAGAAATCTCATTATCTTGGAGAGGGGAATTTTCTGTCTAAGACTTTACCCGAACCTCACTGTAGCTTAAAACAAATTTCAACATGCCTGTCTTACTGTGTAGCCT